TTTTGACATGTTAAGTGTTTGTTATCCAATTGTCTAAGGGCACTTTTAATAATTTTATATTTCTAAGAGTTATTTTACACATTTGTACCATCCCTTGAGTATGGGATTGTTTTTGTCCTCGTTTGTGTGATTTGTTCCTTTTAAATGTACTTTTGAATAATTTAAGGACTTGTTAGGCTGTTTGCTAAAATTCCTTTCTCCAAAATTTAGTATTTCTAATATACTTTTCCATGGTACCCAAGACACTCAGTACAATCAATTGTACAGCCGGCTCCTGTCACCATCGTTCACTAGAATCCCATCACCAGTTATGGATCAAGTAAGATGTGGACGGATGTCCTAAAAGATAAAAGTATTGTTTATGAAATGCTGAGGATTTAATTGGTATAAAATGCAATAAAAATTAAGATACCCAAATGGATTCAGCGCAGGGTCAAACTGTAGGTGAATTCATCTTAGGGAAGTGGCTATAGGTGAATGGATCTAAAGCCTGTGGAAATTGAAGGGAAATTGCAAAAAAAAAAAAAATGCTGTTAGCGTGGTGCAATTTTTGATGTTTTTATCCAAAATTCTCTTTGATCTAGTTCATTTTCCCTCTTTCCCTCTTTGTCTGAAAGAAAGCATCTGAGTATCTTATTTTAATTTCTTTCACTAACACGAGTCCATTGAAAACACTGAGGATGAGAACTGACAAGTTTTGTGGTCACTTAAGCCATTTCTTGTTATGAAGGGAAAGAAGGCAATTGTTACTCGTAGCCCTTGCTACTTTTTATGGGAGGGCATTCTGGTACTGGGAGCTTAAGTAACTTTGCAACTTTGCTTACTTAAGTAACTTTGCTGAGTGGGGCCATGGGTATAAGTAAGGAGAATTTTGGAAGGGCCGCAGCAAAGCTAGATTGCCCTGAATAAGGAAGTGAAAGAGGTTGAGCGGGCAGGACTCAGGGAGCTAGCGTCAGACACGGCGAAGACTGAGATGGAAAGAAAGGATCCAGGGAAGCGGGAGTCCTTCCTGGTTGATTGTGGGACCAAAGAAGGCCATGAGGATTGTCTGATGGGGATTTGTTACGTTGTTTGTGGTCTCGTGTGCAATAAGCTCTCTCTCTCTTCTATCAAACCATCAGCAATGTCTACTTGGCTCACAAATCCTTTGGAGTAAGTGGAATTCCTAATGACAGACCCAAAGAACTTCTGGGTCTTCCTTCAAGACTGGCCCAGTGCAAAATTCACAGCTTCCTGTAAGAGCAAGCAACATGTGGCTGACATCTGACTATTTTAGCATCTGCATGTGAATATACCAAGAAAGAAAGGAGGGAAGAAATGGAGGAGAAAGAGAGGAAAGAAAGAAAGAATTTTATAAGAACAACTTTACACTGTCCATGCTGGCTTAAAATTGAAATTATTAAATTGAATTATACTTAAATTTAACAACAGAGAAAGAAACAGAATGGAACTTCAGATAAACATTTCTTCAAAAAAGCAATATTGGTTGCTAAAGATTCCTCTAAACTTGAGATGAAAAGTATGAAAAACTTTAAGTTGCTAGAACCATTGTGATTTTCTTTAATTAACTGATACTCTCTGTTGTTAATGTCAATTTAATCTGTTAATATTTATTGATCTCTGGTTTATGGACTTATTTAGGTCTTTTTTTCTTATTATTTTCTTTGTTTCTTTTTCTCTTGAATTAATAAAATTTCCATATATCTTCCCCCTTTTTGCCCCTACTAATTAGAAAGCTTAAATTTTATTTATATTCCTTTAGTGGTTGCCTTTAAAATTTTACTGTGTATATTTAATGGCTAATTTCTCTAATATGGTCTAAAGTTATTCTGTATCTTTATTCATTTTTTGAGCAAATTGAGGGTGTTGGTACACTTTTTCGACATTCATTAACCAATCTTCCTTGTTACTGAAAATCTAGGTATTTAGTTTCACTTCAGTTTAAATACAAGAAATGGTGTGATTATTATTATTATGCAGTCAAAGGTTTATTTAATTTGGGGCCAGCCTGGTGGTGTAGTGGTTAGGTTCACACACCCAGGGTTTGCAGGTTCAGATCCTGGGCATGGACTTACATGCCACTCATCACCCCATACTGCGGCGGCGTCCCAATGCAAAGTCGAGGAAGATTGGCACAGATGTTAGCTCAGTGACAATCTTCCTCAAGCAAAAAGAGGAAGATTGGCAACAGACGTTAGCTCAGGGACAATCTTTCTCACCAGAAAAAAGAAAAAAAAAAAGGTTAATTAAATTTGCTAACATATCTTATCAATTTCTGTGTTCATCATTTGCTTTGCATTCTCCTCTTTGATTTCAAACTTCTTCATGATGCAAAGGCCAGTGGGAGGTAAATGGTACAGCTGGAGAAAACACCTGTCTTTTGGCCTCCCTCTGAAATGATAGTTCAGCTGAGTATAAAATTCTTGGTTGGCAGTTATTTTCCTCAGTACTGTGAGCTTTGAGTCAGATCAAATAAAGGCAGCCTATTCAGTGGGGTCTTTCAGGCAACCATCAACAGGTCAAATGATGACAATTCTCTGGATTTTGAAGGAACTTCAACTGTCTTTGGCTCCTCTGGTGGCTGTCAGGCTGCTGGCTTACTGTGATTGCAGGCAGTTGATTTTCAAGACTGCTGTGGAGCTGGAGGGCACAAGATGGGAATAACGCAAATTAAAATGCCACAACCCTTGCTGTCCTTGCCAACATTTAGCTGTTCTTCTTTAATAATGCTCCTCAAATCACTGCCAGCCTCGGATTAACTTCCAGAGTTCTGAAAAAGTGGATTCTGAGTTTTCTCATTGCTTTTATGTGAGAGAGAATTTTTGGAAGTCTTTCCTCTGACATTTTCACTGATAGTTTTTCGTGTGTTCTTTGAATTTTGGTTTACAGATTCAACTTAAGTAGGAGGCCTTTCTCTCTCTCTCTGCATCCCTCCCTGTCTAGCAGTTGTGTGTCTGTCTCTACCCAACCTTCTGAGATCCTTAGTTCAGAAGATGCTCTTGCATTAACAGCCTGGGGCTGTAGCCCAGTGATGACACTGCAGATACTGCAGATACTGTCACTGAATCAGCAGCTTTATTGAGGTCCCGGATGAAGGCTCTGTCCTCCCCCTGCCTCACTAAAGCATACAATTTCACATGGGGTGTAACCCTTGGAAGCTGTCAGCAGACTTTTTCAGCTTCCTTCCAAGAGCAGGCAGCACCCATTCAAACCCCTGGTGGGGAGCAGTGAGCCTGGCTCTGGTGCCCCATCTCATGTTGGAGCCTGTAACTCCTTGTTGCATCCTAGGATCCGAATTCCCAGCCCCTCTGCTTGCTTCCCAACCTTCAGTCCTGGGAGGTTCACTGTTACAGCCCCTTCTTCCCACTTTTTATTTCTGGTCCATGGAGATGCTTCTCTTAATTTTGAGCAGGCCTATGTCTTTTCAATTTTCTCTATATTTTATTTATTGTTGCTGTGTTTTTGGAGCAAGACGGCTGGTGGTTGTGGGGCTAGCCAAGGCAGGAATGAACAATGTCATCGTGGCTAGCCATTGTGTAAGATCTGCCATAATTTAAAATTTTAAACTATTTTCAACCTGAGATAGCATCTTTTGACTCTCTGCCCTGATAGATGACAAAATCAACCTAAAATGATTAAAAATGACAATGCATATCTATGGCATGCTTGCACATGGGGGGCAGTATACCTGAGTCTGTTTCTCTAGAAAAACTACTGCTGCTGCCTTCAAAACTGTAAATACACCAAGCATCTATCTTGCTTGTGCTTTCCAGGAAAACACAGAAATAAGGCACCAATCACCATAACAAGGAATTTTTCCTTTTCTTTTGTCAAGCATGTTTTATGAGAGTGAAGAAGTGGCTCTGTGGAGGATAGAACTAATCCTCAGCAAAACCATGATTCCATCCAATTTATAATATTTGTAGGCATATATATGAACCTGGATGAAAAACTGTAATGCCCAATTGAGTAAAACTCCGCTAACTAGAAGTTTAAGGAATAGACTAACTTGATCCAATTTGACCAAGTTTTATGGAACTTCTACAAGCTGCAACCTGTAATCCTAGGCATTGAGGGGATTACAGAGGTGAGCAAGTACCAGAAAAGGGGGACGGGGAGTTAAATAACTTGAAGGCATGCTCTGTGGTCCATGCTGGCTTGCCAAACTTCGGTGAAGTTGTTTCTGAGTACAGGCCTGAGGATCAGGTGCCTTGATGGGACCTGAATGTTTGAGAACAAACTTCACAATATTGTTGAAGGCCCAAGGATGAGGAAACAATTAGTGATTTTATTTGAAATCTTCCCATTGCTTTTTTATGGATCAATTCAGTGTTCTAGAAATGGAAATAATAATAATCAATTGGCTAAGGACATGGCTCTGAAGGGTACAGAAATTCAGTTATTTTAATGTTGAGATCTAGAGGGGATGCAGACACAGTTTCAGAGAAACCCTTTCTACCAAACAGACAACATTGAATCTCTTCAGCTGGTGAGTTCTCTCTCATTAAGGGGCGGATCTTGGAGAGGAGTGTGGGATGCGCCTCTAAGGGCAGGTGAGCAACCCTGGAGATCAGGAGACCTGCTTTGGAGGCCTAATCTGGCTCTTCCAACTCCCTGAACAGTGGGGCAGTCATTGTCTTTATAAGGCAGCCATTCACCTGTCTAAGACACTTCCATGGCTTTCCATTGCCCTTGGCATAAAGTCCAAATTCTGTAACCTCCATAAAAAGACCTGCATGGTCAGGACCCTGCCAGCCTCTCTTTCCTTATTTCTCACCACGCATCTGCACCCCGAACTTAGTCCCAGACATACTCAGCTACTTGCAGGTCTGCGGATTCATCCAGCTTCCATGCCTGTATCTATACTGTCCCCTCTACCTGGAGATGCATTCCCGTATTCCTCCTCCAGGAAGGCTTCACTCAAATAACAGTGATAAGCAGCTAGTATTGGTTAGGATAATTCTGGCAGCCTATGCAGAGACCAAATAATGGTAACTTACATAAGGTAAAAATCAATATCTTTCTCATCTAAAAGTCCCAGTAGGTATGGAGGCTCTGCTCTACCAAGTTGTCAGTAGTGCAGATTCCTTCTAGATTGTTCTACATCCCGAGGACACATCCTTTGTCCCCATGGTCCAAGATGGCTCACTGTTCGTCACTGTCATATGAGGTGAGGCTTCCAAGAGGAAGAGCAGGGATGGGTCTTCCAACACGGAAAGGACAGGTGAGCAGGAAGGGTAGGTCCCCATCTGTAAGGGCATGACCGAGAAGTTGTACACATTACTTTCACTCACATCCCATTAGCCAGACCTGACTCCCAGGGTCACACTCAGCTGCAAGGGAAGTAGAGAAGTGCAGTCTTCATCGTGGGAAGCCTCTATTGTTATGAGAGAGAAGGGGAGAACTGTTATTGGGGAATGGCTGGATGTGGATGGTGGCTGTGAGAAGAGAAAGACCAGCAGCGTGGATGAAGATGAAGACCTAACCTCTCCAATAAGGAAGAAGGTAAGAGCAGAGATGAACAAAAGGCACGGAAGGCTGAGGAAATGAGAAGCAGAAGCCAGGTTACCACGCACTGGAAAATGTCCCCACACCCACACCTTTACTCATATAGGTCTTCCTGTCTAAAATGCCCTAACACTTCTTTCTTCATCTCTTGAGGCTCAATCTGTACTTGATCTCCCCATGGAAGCCCCTACAGGGAACTTGAATCTTTCTCGGGTGTACATAAAGAGCCTTCTCTCTGGGTTACTAACTGGGTCACAATGACTATAATAATCTTCTATGGATGCCTATTATAAGCAGATACTTTAAATACATATCTCGTTTTCTTCTCACCATGCTGTTAGTGGGTTTTTAGGGGCTCAATAAAAAGCACTTCTCTCTTTCCCTTCCAAAATGAGGACCAAGTGAGAAACAGGATCCAGGAGACTGGCGAATGGGGATGGATGTTAGCTTTACCTTGATAAACTGATAGGAGAACGCGGCTTCTTACCTGCGGTCCAAGGGCTTCCTAAGAATCTTCCAGAAGCTCCGCTTTCCCAATATCGATCTTGCAACAGCCCATCAAGGGCAAGTTTGGGCTTCAGAGTCACCACTCACTCAGCACTCCTGCCTTGCACTAGCCTGGAGCAGAGGCACGAAAAAAAGGCATATCCTCAGTCTCACGGCCTCTTCATAAACTAGCTCCATCCACCGAGAACCGTGGTCCAAAGGCTGAGCCTCCACATCCGGTAAGTTGTTCCTCCTCTCGGGGTGGAAGCGGAAGGGCGGGGCAAGAGGTCAGAGTGTTACTCCCTGATGTTCCGGCCACATGGAAACGCGAGGGAAGAGAAACAAAGGTTCCGCCGTAACAATCCCTAACGGGAGGAATAGTTTTGCCCACGTGGTAGACCAGGAAGCCAGCACTGGGAGAAGTACCATGACTTGCTAAGGTCACCCAGGTAGGAGGTGGAGGAGAATTTTGGAACCAACTCTGTCTGGTTCCAAACCGTGGCTTTTAGTGACTAGCTCTAGTAGCTTGTAAGCTCTTTGAGAGAGAGGTTACAATAAAAACTCCACATTCCCAGCAGTACCTAACCAAGTATTTAAGCAACGACTCATGGCAGAGTTTGGTGTAAAGGCTTGGGGGTTCTGGCCCATGTTTGTTGCTTCTTTGTCCTTGTCTCGTGTTCAGACAAGTTTCTTTACCGGGACAGTTCACCTGGGAGCAGGAACTAATGATGCTGCCTGGGGCCTTTCCAACTCTGCTGCTTCTGGAGGCTCCTTTGTTGGGTTTATAGTTTGAGACACTTTGTTGGACTTTGTCAGAATCCGCTTTCTCCTTCGAGCCTCCTGCTGTCTGTGAGGAGGCAAGGACAGGGTGGGGAAGAGACTCCCCTAAGGGCAGAGGGCGATTAAGGACCATGAGCGGTCCAGGCCAGTGGTTTAGTTGGTAATCCTTCAAAGTAACATCCGTAAATATTTGTCTAACATCTATTTCAAGAGGGCAAGGAGAGACTGGTTTTATATGAATAGAAATTGTGCAAAAAAAGAAATTCACCTCCTAATTTGCGTCCTGGGCAGAAGTGGTATCAACACTCTAAAAAAATACCTGCCAAACAGTCCCCACTTTTCTGTGGTTCCTACACGCTGCAAAGTTTTCTTTTGCAACTTGCTGAACTGTACAACTTTTTCGCAGGTATATTAAAGGGTTTTATATTTAGATAATGAAATAAGCTGCTGTTTCCAGTAAACAGCCGTACTCCATGGAAGAGAACTTTGCAGAATTGTAGGCCAGCACCGTCTGTCCACTGAAGGCAGGGCTGTGCTTGGGAGAAACATTTTATTTTTATTTTCCACTGGAGGGCGCTGTGTACTTTGGTGGAAGTGGAAACGTGTTCCATTTTACCAGTTTATTCTAGCGAGCTTTAATCTTCCCTCGCGGATTTGTGCCCTGGGCAGTTGTCCAGCTGTCCACTTCTTAATCTGGCTTTTCCCAAAGTCACACAGGAAGCAGTGTCGTGGTTCAGATGAGACCCCAGTCAGTCTGATTCCTCCTGGGCAAGGTCTCTGCGCTCAGACTTCTCATCACTCCAGTGAAAACACCAGGGCTTACCCCAGCCTCCCCTCATCTATGTGTGTCAGCTACATGTCTCCGTACTATCTGTGACTTAATTTCCATGACTTTGCATCATTCGCCTTTGAGAAAACATAAACTAGGCATCTCTCACACAGAACCTGCTTTCTAGGTCACAATTTCTACCTCTGGACCAGCAGCGTGATCCTCAAGTTGTCAGCATTTGGCTTCAGACTATGATGTCTCCAACAGTAATGTGCCAAGGACTCACCTGGGCATCTCGTGAAAATGCAGACTCTGATTCAATAGGCCTTGGGAGTGGGCCTGAGGTTTTGCATTTCTAACAAGCCCTGAATGATGGCACTATGGGTTGACGTACCACACCCCAAATAGCAAGACTTTACCTATTTGTCCCATCCAGGACTTTCCCCACTCAGTTTTGCATATGGGGGTGGATAAACTCAAGGATGGAGGTCGGTCAATATCTCTTTGGAGCTTTGCCTCCGACTTAGTTTTCATAAATTGTCCCTGCACGGCCCCCCTCTCTCCAGCTTTACTCCGTCTCATCTATTTCTCTTTCCCTGGTTGGACAACCATGAGGCAGTGTCTGATGCTTGTGTCTGCCACATCTGTGCCCTAATTTGTCTTTCACTGTCATACAGAATAATTTCTTTTCATTTTCTTTGATTTCCCCTTTTCATTGAGAAACTGCATCAAGATACAATGAAGGATATGATAATGGTAACGACAGCTCTCACATGTGTGTGAAGGGCTTTAACACTACAAGACAGTATAGGTGGAGGCTATGAGCCAGGGCGCCAGAGCCTGCCTGCCTGCATTCAAATCCTGCCTCTGCAACACTCTAGCTGGGTGGCCTTGGGCAAGTTGCTTAACCTCTCTGTGCTTTAATTTCCTCATTTGCAGAATGTGGCTAATGATGGTTCATTAGGTCGTTCTGAAGATTAAATGAGATAATGTGTGTGAGGCCTGGCACACAGTAGGCACTTGGCAATAATCAGCAGTGTTATAATTCCTCAGTCCCCTGGGGACGGGGAGGGACTCCAGGCCCAATGAGGAGAAATGACTTGCACTCAAGATCTCACAGCAAGAATGGTGGGTGGCACAGGGGGACTAGATCTGACTCCTACTCCAGTGCTCCTTGCACCCCTACCCCACTTCCAAGTGAGGAGTTTTACTGGCATCCATTCACAGCCTCGAGTGTGCTGTTTTCCCAGCATCCTGCGGATTGTCTGTTCTCTTTCCTTCTACTGGAGCTTTTCCAGCTGGGGTGATTCACGGGTCTGGGGCCGCATGGCTCCCATTAACTTTGAGGAAAGTCACAAGCCAAAATCCACAGCCATCGAGCCTCCAAGTTACTCATCCATCTTTACAGGTGACACGTGGATTAAGGTGAACAGGGAGAGAAGCGAGTATCCTACAATAACTATTAGATTTATGAGAATCACATAAGAGCTTACACCAAGTCTCAAAATTGAAGCTCGCTCTGTTTTCACAGCAAGGTTCAACCTCAGGGATAAGAGACAGGATGTCACAATAGAACGGCCTCGAAGCCTGAAGTCCGAGGGACTGGGGTTCCCGGCTTCACTGCGTACTACACTTGTGATCTCAGGCAAGCCTTTCAACCCCTTAGAATCTGTTTCCTTATTTTATTATTCATCCTTACAACAAACCAAGGAGTTAGTTATTATCTATCCCCATTTTACAGGTGTGGAAACTGAGGCACAGAGAGGTTAAGTGACTTGCCCAAGGTGACATGACTACCAAGGGATTTATCCTTTAGGAGGGCTTCGTAACCCTATATTTGAGTCCAAAAAGCTACGTCCTTCTATCACTCAGTCTCGTAAATGAGCCGCTGAGTCTAAAAGCAGCAGGCGCAGAGTCGGGCTTAATAAACATTTGTGAATCTGAATCTCGAGGAAAAAATTCATGTCTCCTTAATCGCTTATTCTCTATAGTATATTTACACCTAGTAGGTTCTCAATTAATAGAGTCCAGTGGCCTTATTCCCCCCCGGAAATGGTTCTGTTTTTATTTAATGATTTGCTGAGGTGCATTTTAATATGCAGACCACAATGCTGCTTGTACAATATCTTCTGGACTGCGAGGCGCGGGCCTTCATTATTTTACGAGACGCATATGTCATGCATAGCACAAGGCCTTTGCTTAAACCAACACAACATGCAAATAGAAATATCATGTAAAATCACATTCAGACAGTCTCAAAGCAGAAACAGATGTCTGAAAAATACGAACGCCAGGCTTATTAAATATTTTATCATCAAATATTTCATACATTTCAAAAATGTCATCTGTGAAAACACAGAAATACCGCCTCAGGAGAACCAAAATATTTAATCACTTTCAAGAAATTCTTAAAAATAAGTCTTCACCTCAGCACTGTTCCAGGCCGAGAACAAATTTCCAGGTGCTGCAAGCTATATTTATTATATTTTCATCAAAATCAGTAACCTAGTTGAAGGAGATACAGTAATCAGTTAGGTCATTATTAGGGAAGATAATGACTTCTGAATGAATTCTCTCATTAATCTCATTACGAAATGGTAATGGTACCTGACTAATCATGCCGGAGGGGAGAGCTGTGCTGAATCAGAGCAAAATTAAGGTTGTAATCACAGAGCTGGGCTCGCCGTTTCTTCATGAGAGCCTTGCTCGGGGTTTGGGGACCGGCTGGAGTTCCTCTGACCCAGTGGCCTGTTGATCTTTGAAGGCTGGAGCCCCCGATATGACAAGGGGCCCGGTGAAGAGCCCTGGACAGCAGCTGTCAGAACGGTTCCTCTTCCTGCTTCTGTCCCCTGATTCCTGTGTGACCTTGGACAGGTCACATCTGTCTCTGGGCTCCATTTCCAGTTTCCCTGACTTAGTCTCCTGCTTTCTCCCTTGCCCCTTAAACATGTAAGGCAGATCGCATCACCCCCAGCATGGCTGCCCATCTCACCCCAAGAAGGATCCAGATCCTTACACGAGCCCCGCGCCCTACGTAATCTGCCCCCATTGCTTTTCTCACCTTATCTCCTCCCGCCCTGGCCATCCCTTGCTTTGCTTCAGCACGCTGACCTCCTTGCTGTTCCCTGTGTCTGGATTGTCCGCATCCCCAGCCCCTATATCCGCATGGCTCATCCCGTCAGCTCTTCCAAGTCTTTGCTCAATGTTACCTTCTCAGTAGCGCCCACCCTGACAACTCTGTTGAGCCCTGCAACCTCTCTATGGGCACTCCAGTCTACGTCTTCTTTCTCCACGTCCTCATTGCCTTCTAACACAGTACATAATTTACTGAGCTTCTCGTCGGTCTCCCCACCTCCACCCCACTCAAATGTAAGCCCCACAGGGGCTGGGATCTTTGTACACTCATACATATGCCTGGCACACAGCAAACGTGCAGTAACTCTTTGATGACTGTGCAATTTATCACAGGCTTGTGGGTTCCCTCCCTGCTGGACGCTAAGGGAGGAACCTCAGTGTGTGAGACTGGTGGCCAGGGATGATGAAGTGCACATTCACTGCAATGAGCCCCTCTGGTGGTGGGGCTGGCCTCGCTTTTCCCTCTTGCTGGCGATCAGAGCCACGTCGAGTCTCTTTATTTCCACAAGGACCGGCCTGAGAACACGCATGCTGAGTGGCAGAGTGCAGAGTCAGGGAAACCTCAACAGCTGGGGCGGGGGGGTGGGGGGTCAAACTGAGTAAGAGAATTGACAGAGACAAAAG